TTTCTGCCGTATCGAAATTAGTTTTTCGCAAAACTAAAATGGAAACACTTTTTTCGCATCACAGGAGTCACGTGATCAACAACCGGCTGTTTCTACTGGTGAAAAAGACGATGATGAAGAAGATAACAGGAAGTAGAAGTAGTGAAATCAACAAAGTTGTAAAACAAAATAGTAAACTCACCGACTACAATTTCCCAAAAACGCCGCATACGTAGCCACTCCCAAGTATAAGGGGCTTGTCACTCGAAAGCCTTGATAAGACGCCGTTGTCTCTGCTGATGGCTGATGATGAGCGCTAGTGTCGTGGTAGCAACATGCTATGTGTTTACATCCATCGCTGCCATGTTTGTAATGACTTATCATGAGAACAAACGTATTCACGTGACTTTAATAGCATTTCTTACTTAATGGAAACACTGCAGTTGCAAAACTGTGTTTTTTGACATTAACAGAATATCGACAAGGTTTTGTGCACATTTGCAYTGGAAACACAGCTAGTGTCTGTTTTATATCCATCTACGAGTTTCTGGCCGTTTGACTATCTATAAATGTCTGCTTCCGGGTAGCCAGTGACGGCTGGTCAATAGAGGTTGCTAGGGCACTGCCCCACCATTCTATTTTGGGACACAAAAAAATCTAAAAATAAAATAACAAATTAAAATGTTTAGTAGAAATATCTATATATGTTTTAGATGTGTAAGATGAATCTTTTTTAGTTATTAATGGATGAACCTTATTTTACCCATGAGCGTTGTCGTGTTTAGTCARTTCCGGCTCARTCCAGGGRGCAGAAATCTTTACCATTGAAGACTAATGTTAACTCCAGGGCATGCACAGTAGGTCCTCAATGCAAAAGAATATGCAAAAGAACGCCTCTGCACCCAGAAGGGGATTTGCAAACCGGTAGTGGGTCGACGTCATAGACGCCAAAGAGTTCCCTGAATATAACAGAAAATAACACTAAAGTCTCACATGTACATAAACTCAAACTTCCTACTCGTCTTGTCTCGTCTCGTCTCAAGTATATGACTGCACAAAGTGTTCAATACAAGACTATCTAAAATTCAGTTAATGAGTCACAAAGCTTTCTTCAGACCTGCTGCCTCTMTGACCTGTCTACTGATAACCCACAGAAGATTGAGATGCATTGATCTAAACAATAAACTTATAAAAACTTTAACCAGTTTCTAGAAACAGTTTAAGGGCCTTCCTCTTCACTCAATATTAAATATAGTATTTGGTTGTGCACAGCTGATCCCCGAAAGACCACAAGGACATTTTTGGAGTGGTGCAGATAACAAGGCTGTCACTGTCCTGAAATGGACACCTTGAGTTGTCTTCCCACAATTCATCCATTCATTTTCTTAACCTGTTGACCCTGGTCAGGGTTAAGCRGGGTACACACCAAACACGTTGGGAGCAGCCAAAGCAGCCAGTTAACATGCAAAGTCTATGGTGGCCACGTATCTAGGAGCAGCGCAGCATGTTGCGGTGTGTTTTGGCAGTTCAGAGCAGCGCGCAAGGTAGTGGTAGGATGCGGCAGAGCATTTTCCGCACATGTGGCAAGGTCCAAAGCAGCGGCTGCTAAGGTTCAACAAATTGAACTTTGGCTGCTCGACGCGCAGCAGCAACCAATCGGGGGAGAATATTTTTTCACGTGACAGTTTCACGAACCCGACACAGACGGACAGGAGCCTTTAGCTGAAATCGACAGTCTGCAGTTGGTGTTCTGGCTGGAGTTATCAGCACCGATGTGAAGAGAGCAGCACGCTGAGCTCAGGACAAAAAAAAGTCCCTCAGCTCGCTGGAGTGGCGAAACTAAACCACCTCTAAATTATCTGGTGAATTAATTATCTGCTGTATGCAAGTTCGTTTGCTGTTTAYTAAATAAAACAAAGCCATTTTATTTATTTTATCTTTATTTCACCCGTCATTAAAGACCTTCTGGTCCCTCTGGAGAAAAAAAAGGTCCATCAGAGCGCCTCTAAATTATCTTGTGAATTAACTATCTGCTGTGCACAAGTTTGCTTGCTCTTTAGTAAATAAAACAAAGCTATTTTATTTATTTTATCTTCATTTCAAACGTCAACAGACCGGAAAATGAACAAAGACGCTCCTCCCATTGTGCGTCTTCAGGCGTGTTCGGTGTGAACGGACATCTGTTGACAAGCAGCCAAACGCAGAGAGACAGCAGGTGCAAATCGTGACACCGCACCTCATACTGGCACTTCCGGTGGCAGGTGTCACA